ACATGTCCCCCACCCCAGTGCAGGGGATGCAACTATTATTTTTTAAATGAAGCAGTTCTACTCAGTCACCAAGACGCTTCTGAAAGTTGCATTTTATCACAGTTTCCAACTATTTAAAAAAATAAATGGAGTTAACATTGAGTTGTTTCTACTTTCATGGGGAAATTATTTATTAGCCAGCACCAGATGCATGAGCTAATTATCTGATTCCTTGTCTTCTGTTTGCTCACAGTCCAGTCCTTGTTTAAAAGCTTCAAGAACATTCAAGCTGTTGGTGTGTTAAAAACAAAAATACATTGTATTGATGTGTGCTGGTAGTTCACAAAATTTAATTAAAACACAGGACATGGATGGAAGGTAGCATTGGACGGCTAATAAAATATGACTTGTAGATATGACTTCCTCCTGGAGTAAGGATGCCATGTCTTTAGTGTTTGGAAGAGTTTCTTTGTGCATAGACCAGGGTTTCTCAGCCTTGGCACTGTGGCCACCTGGGGCTAACCTATTCTTTGCCGTGGGGCTGCCTGAGCACCGCAGGGCATCTGGTGGCATCCCTTGCCTCTAGCCACTAGACACTCGAGTGTCTCTCACCCGGGCTGACAACCAGTGCATCGTTGCCAAACGTCCCAGTGAGGCCAAACCAACCCTGGCTGAGAACCACCTGGTGGAGAGCAGCAATTTTTAATCGGTGTGCTGCAAGCATTAGTAAAACAGATAATACCTGACTACTTAGTCAGGGGCACTGGACTCTTTCCCCCTAGATGAGGGGTCCCCAACCTCTGGGCCTTGGACCAGTACCAGTCTGTGGCCTGTGAGAAGCCAGGCCTTGCAGCAGGAGGCGAGCCCTTGGCTTGAAGGACCCAGTCACATTACATCTTTGGAAGAAGGGATGCTGCTAAGGAAGCCTCGAGTGTGGGGTTTGTGTCAGGTCCCCTCCACCCTCTGCATCCTCCCTCTATTCTATTGGGTTGGCCAAAAGGCCCGTTTAGTTTTCTCCATAAAATAAAAGACACAGTTTTCATTTTCACTAGTAACTTTATTGATTTGGATATTTTGAGTATGTCGGCTATCTCCCGCTATTGGCTTCCAGTGAGTAGAGGCCAGGGGTGCTGCTGAACGTCTTCCAGTGTATATATAAGACAGCCCCACAGCAAATAATTATTTGGCCAAAATGTCAATAGTACCAAGAAACTTCAAAAACCACTTTTGACAATCAGTCACAGTCCCTTCTTCATACACTGCACAAATCTTTTTCCCGTGTTTCAGTTGCGTTTTTACCCTTCTCGAATTGATAAAGCATAACATGCCAAAAGTGCTGTGTATCTTCTTCCATCTTCAATATTAAAATGGCTGCACAAAAATTCACCAATTTTGATAAATTTTTAAATGCACACTGATATGACAGCTGTCATAGTACAATCTAACAAAATCATTTCAATGGAGTTAAAAACAACTAAGCACCACTTAGAGCCATTGTATGGAAAAAGCGTGACGGGCTTTTTGGCCGACCCAATACTAGATATAAATCACCTGGTAACTAGCCCCCGTCATCCCACTGGAGCTGGGGTCTCTGATGCGAACCTCAGGTCTCCTCCACACAGTGGAGCCCTCATGCGGCCTCAGGAGAGCCCATTGTTAGCATCTGTAGCGCCTCTTCCCACTCCTCACTCAGGAATGGCAGACTGGGGGTTGGGAGTCGACCACCGGGGGAGTATTTACACCATGGAAATTGGCAGTTAGCAAAGGCCACGTGCACATCAGTGCTCCCCCGAGCCTCTCGCCCTTCACGCCCCACCCCGGCCAGTTAACTACCCCCACACCGCTGCCTCCAATCATCTACTTTCTGGCCCCTCCTTTGTATTCGCGAATGTGGCCAACCTGCTTCTCTCCACACACATCGGGATGGAGAGAGAACCGGGTCTCGGAATTTTCAACAGGTAAGAAAAATGTCACAGGGCACTGTTTGAAGGGTTTGGAGAGTCTTCAATGCCATCTGACCTTATGAGGGTTCTGTCCGGTGTGGTAGTTAGCACCATGGCTTCCCCAGAGGGACTCCTGGGCTGCAACTCCACTTCTCTCACCTGCGACTGTATGACCTTAAACCAGTCACTCAGTGTCTCCGCACCCGTTTCCCCGTTCAGGGTGACGGATGCAGTCACCTCCATGTCGTGTGGTAATTGTGAAGACTAAGTGAGCAAACATGTATGATGGCCTTAGGACACATCAGGCACGTGGCAGGTACCCACGTTCAGCTGGTGTTAGTCGGTGCCAACTCCCGTGCCCAGTCCTGCGTCCGTGGCTACAATCAGAGGGCCACCGTGGGTCACACAGCACAGATCCCGAAACCATCGTGTGCGTGTTGCTGTCCTTTCTTGCTGTCATTCTGAAAACAATTTGTCTATCTGAAGAAGGGCTACTAGGAGCATAAAATACAAATATAATGGATGATTTCTCCCCTAAATTCAACACTCAGTATTCGGAGTTGATGACCCTCTGGGCATTACAGGATTTTGAAGTGAGGAGCACAGGCAGGCACCTTCTGGACGCAGTGCCAACGTTCTGAGGTAGGGGAAATCATTACTTCCATTTTACAGGTGCAGAAAACCAAGGCTCAGACAGGGCAAAGCACTCGCCCAGAGGACCAACCAGAAAGTGGCCCACACTGTGGTCCCAGCTCTGGAGGGCCTGAAAGTCTCAGGGGTGGGGGTGGGGGAAGCTTTGGCCTGCGGTGAGTCCGGGGCCTGTCCTCTGGAGCTTGGGTTTCCCACGGGTTTTCTGCTCACCAGCCTCACCTGCAGAATCCTGACAGCGAACAAAGCCTTGTTAACACAGTGATCCAGGGACAGCGGGCCGCGCCTCCCTCCAGCTGCTGTGTAATTACCTGCCAGTTAGCTCTCCACGAAGCCTAGGAAGCCCAAGGCGCTAGATATAAAGGCTGCCTTGAGTAGGAGGGGAGGGCAGATGGGAGTATTTGCTTTTTGAAAAAGACATTGTTTCTGAGAATTGATAAAGCCCTGGGGCAGCCCCTTTGTTGGGTGTGTTTTACGGCCAACGCCCATGGAATAACATGCAGTTTGTGTGATCCGTATTATGATTAGCTTCATATTTGAACTCAAAGCTGCTTTTCTTGGCGAGCTCACTGCTTTACTGTTGCCGCCAAAGTCTTTGGGGACTTATGCCAGTTGGTTGGGGACTTTGGGTGTTGGTTTCAACCCAGAAAATATTCTCTCAGCAGAGGTGCCTTTCAGAATGTCCCGCAGGGCCGATCCTTTGCAGACGCCCTGTGGAGTCGTGAGCCCTAGTGCCCGCGGGCTGTGCCCACCTTGTCTGCTCTTCAAAGGGACGGGGCGCGGGGGGCGGTCTGGGCAGAGGAGCAGTGCTGTGCCGCATCGGGGCCAATGATGCCCACAGTCACCCAGAGGTTCAGGGAGGGCCTGGCCACCTTCTGTGGCCTCTGCCCAGGGCTCACCAAATGTTCTTGGCCTGGCCGCTGGCAGTGTTGGGGGCCCATGGCTATAGGCAGGCCCCAGGTGGTATGCTTCGTAAACTGGTCTGACTCTTCGTCCCCCTGAGAGTCGACACCTCAGCTTGCAGCGAGCAGAGCCGAGTCCTGCCATTACTCCCACAGTTTCTATCCCACCACCAGCCAAGCCACCTTCCGACTCGTGGATAGAGGACGAGAACAGTAAGTATCACCTGGTCTGCTAGGATGTTAAACCCCATCTGAAGGGGTTAAGAAAAATAAGTAAAAATTAAAAAAAATTAAAAACAAACTGTAAAACCCTCAAGTTCCATTCAAAGAAAAGCTGGCAGCAAAAATGTATATAAATACTTATTCCAATTATTAGCCTCACGTGGAGCCAAGTAACCCACACCTGCAGCACGTGGGCTGTCGGGAGTGGCAGGGAGGGGCGGACTGGGAAGCCTGCCCTGGAGCGCGGCCACGCCCCCACCCCGAGGCAGAAGGCCCGGGGTGTGCTGTTTGGGTGTGGAGCACGGGGTGGTTAATCCAAAGCGTTAGCTCTGACGGGCGACTTCTCGTGTCAGTGCCCTTGAGATATTTTCAGTGGCCTGTGCATGCCCCATTTCCCCTTTTTCTCCTTTGTCTTGGTCCTTTTCTTTCATTGTCCCTGTGTTTTTCCTCTTTTCAGTGTAAGGTCTGAGCCAACTCACACTCCCTGCCACTGCTGAGCACTGCTGGTGACACTGAGGGACGAAGTACCCTTCTTGTGCAGCGGTGGAGGGCAGGTGACCAGCACCAGGGGCCTTACAGGTACCTGTCAGTGGGGCGGTGACAGCCAGAGAGTCTGCAATGAGTGTAAGAGATTCCAGAATCTTACTGAGGGGGTCGAGGGAGAGGAACGTCCACCGGGTTGGGGAGGGGCATTTGCTCGCAGTCCTGACGGGGCGGGCGGGTTGTAGTACCGGGGTTGGGGTGTGTCATGTGACATGGGGGCAACATGCCAACCGAGAATCTTTGGGCAGGCAGGTCCAGTGCTGGGCTGGTTGAGGCAGCAGTAGGAGGGGACCAGGACTGGCTTTGGACAGCCTCCCCTTGGGCCATACCTAGGGTCAGACACAGGGTCTGACGGGGGAGCTGGGGTGAGAACTCGGGTCTCCTCAACCCCATTTAGTTGTAGTCCATTTTGGAATTCTGTAAAGTATTCTCCTTCCCTCAGAGTTTCAGGTGTTACTTCTCACCATCACATCGTCAAATGATGGTCAGTCTTGTCTTCTGAGTGGCCATAAGCAGCAGGGTGAAACAGTACAGAACTCAGTCGGGTCACTTCCTGTTTCCTAATCGTCCCCAAGTAGGATGTCCCTTAGTGTAGCTACATCTGGATATGACTGTACTCACTTCCTCCAAAAATAACTTTAGGTGGAAGGTGATGCTGGAATCTTCTATGTCTTCATAGTTATTAGTGACTACAGGGTGCTTTTCTATTCGTTCCAGAACTGTAGGATTTCATGGCTGAATGTAAGTAGCCAAGATCACCTGGTTAAAATACCTTGTTTTATTAGAATTGAAGACTGAGGTTCAGGGAGGTTCCTGACGCCTAGTGTGCGGCCTCTGCAGTTCCTCCAGGCCGCCACTGCTGAGTCGCACAAACAAGCTGAGCGACAGGTTCTCTTAGATGGTTGTCTGAGAGTGTCTCTCGAACCCTAGGAACTGCACCAAACGGTTCAAGAAACATCCATGTGTAAACACTTTTCATTCAAGTACACATATCCACCCATGCACACTCATACATTATGCACAGATACACACCCTGCCCTCTTTTCGGGGCACATTTTACACTCTCAATGAGTGCTTTACACAACCAACAACCTCCTGAACAAGTTGCTACCACGTCCTGCTTCCTTTAAAACAAGGCTGCCACAGGGAGTTAGGGCTACAGTATGAGTAACTCTCCCCCCTCCGGGAAGGATGAGCTCGTGGCTCCGAGCCTCCTCGGCCAGGCCATGCACATGTCGAGGCCGGAGGCGGGGTGTGGCGCAGGACTCCTGACTGAGCGACTCTTCATCCCGGAGCTGAATAGAGCCAGAGGAAGGTCCTTCTCTTCTCCCATTTGGCCTTCATTATGAGGAGGGCAGACTGTACATCAACAAATGGTAGGCGATGCGCATCAGGTTCCGTAATTGTAAAAACTGTGTTGGTTTCCTAGGGCTGCGGTAACACTACCAGAAACTCACTGGCTTAAAACAATGGAAACTTATTCCCCCATAGTTACAGAGGCTAGAGTTTGCAGGTCAAGGTGTTGGTGGGGTGACGTTCCCTTTAAGGCCCCGGGAGAGGCTGTTCCATGCCGCTCTGCTCTCCTAGCTCCTTGTGGTTGCCGCCAATCCTTGGCAATCCTGCCTTGTAACAGCATCACTCCAGTCTCTGTTCTCTCACGTCTTCTTCCCTCTGCATGTGTCTCTGTTTCCAAATCCCCCTTTCCTTATAATGATGCCAGTCACTGATTATGGGGGCCACCCTAATTTGGTATGACCTCATCCTAACTTGATTCCGTCTACAAAGACCCTGTGTCCCAATAAGGCTACATTCAAGGGTGTGGGGGCTAGGCCTTCAACATATCTTCTGGGGCACACAGTGCAACCTGCAAGTAGTGTCCACACCCCTCACTATTCTGTCAGTCACCACCAGTAAGTAGCACCTCATATGCACACGCCCATCCTTGGTGCACTCCTGGGTACAGCCCAAGTACACAGGCAGCGCTGTCTGGGCCGTCCTGACTGCGGAAGCGCTCTCATAGATGTTTGCTGGCTCTCCTGGTCCACAGTGGCTTTGTACTTGTTAAGCCTCCCACCCTGTATTTTAAAACGCATTCAATTTTCATTCTCAACTGTGTTTTCTTATGTCTCATGTCCTGGCTCCCGCATGCACAATAACTGAAGTGTGTGTGGGGGGTCAACAGCCATCAATAAAGAGTTTTTTTTTGCTAGCTCCCTCAAGCCAGAATGTAACTTCACACAAATAGGACCATGAGACCTCCTGAGATGATGCAAAGAGAGTGTATAAATGCCATGAAATAGTTCCCACCAGCTTTCAATGTCTTCTTGGTTCACTTTATCTTACATGCATCATTAAGGTGGTAGCTCTCATGCTGGGCAGTCACCGAAGTGGGGAGTCGCCCTTCACTTTCGGAGCGCATCTGGTTCCCAGGTAGCTTCCTCTTAATATGAGACCCCAGCATTCGTGCAGAAGACGATTTCCGTAGGATTCCAAGGGCACTTTCAGTTGGTGGGTACTGGCTCGGCCGCAGGGTCATTTTGGCTTCACATGCAAACATCCATTTCAGCGGTGTCTCCTGAGAGGAAAGCCCAGCAGGAGGCTGCAGGTGGTGTGTTGGGGACTGTCACTCGAAGAGCTCCAGGTAGTCAGGGGGCTGGTCCTGCTGGCCGCAGGGGTACAGGAGGAGCTCCTTCCCCAGGGAGGTGATGGGTTCCTCCTGTGAATCCGAAGGCACAGGTCAGGCTGGGCTGGGTGTTAAGACAGTCTCAACAAGGGTGGCTTGCCACTCCCACCTCCTCAGAGGACAGACCTTCCTGCCAGCCCTTGGTGTACACAAAGCGCTATGGTTTATGACAATTTAAAAAGAGACTGTTCTCATCTGTACACTGCCCTGGACTCTTTCCCTCCCTTGAATTCTAACTTGAGTATCCCCAGATGCGATCGGGGAGGCACACGTTTTTTTAGCCTCTCCTACGTTTTCTGCAAGAGTGGGGTCTCCTTGAGTACTTGAGGAGAAACTAGGCTCAGTGATAAAGTCAATGCAATTAAGAACCCTGATTATCAGGAGGAAGGAACGAAGACTAATCCCCCATTACTCATCTCAATCATTTTTCTTGTAATTGCCTTTCATTGTTCGAGTGGCCGCAGAGCAATAATTCACAGGGCAGGTGGAGCCTGTGGGTCGGCGCCTCACCTTGTGGTACTCCACCAGCTCCGCCAGGGTGGCATGCTGCAGCTGGTCCACGCCCAGGAAGCTGTAGGAGTCCGCGGAGGCGTCAATGAGGAAATGCTTACAGCCGTCCTGGGACAGGTAGGACAAGGCATAGCCTCTGATCCTTTCGCTGACTCGGATCAGAAAGCTGCCCGGCACGCATGTGCTCAGGAGTTCGTTTGCTCTCTTCAGTGTGAGGATTCCTGTGGGTGAGGAAAGCAGGTGTTTCAGCCAGATCATGTCCAAAACTCTCCTCTGTGAAACACAGCTGTGCGGATAAAGTTTGGTGAAAATAAGCATGCTTTTAAGTCCATCCTGGGCATCTAAGGAGTACAGCTAAATATTCATTCTGGAATTTGGAAACTGGGCAGCGTAGGTTACATCAGCCAGTGGAGAGTATAAATAAGAGCATAAATGTTTAACAGTCAGAAGGACAAATCTGCACTTATACACCCAGTTATATCGACATAGGGCTTAGGTGGCTTCTGAGGCTGGTAGGACCCTTGATGGTCACCCTGGGAGAGGCCTTGGCGATGCTCTCCTCAGTGTACTGATGAGGACTCTGTGTCCCAGGGAATGATCCTGTTTGGTCTAGAACAGTGGTTCTCAAGCAGGACAATGTCTATAAATTCCCAAGAGACCTTTTTGCTTGTCGTGGGCAGGGGTGTGTGTGTGCTACTGGCGTCCAGTACGTAGAGGCCAGGGACACTGCTGAACATCCCCAAGTGCACAGGAGAGCCTCACACTACACTCTATCACCCAACCTGAATGTCAGCAGTGCGGAAGCTGAGAAACCCGCGCTTGAAGTCAGCGAGTTAGCAACACATCCAGGCTAGACCCGGGTCCAGAGTGCCCTCCGCTGCAGCTACTCCTAAAGGACGGCCATTGGCATACAGGAAATATGTATATATGTATGTGTATAGGTATACGCACATATCCATGTGTATACACACATGTGTATACTCATATGTATGTGTGTATATGTGTATATATTACGTGTGTGTGTGTAATAGTCCAGCAGAACCATAACGCCTGCTTGAGTGTGGTTGGTGGGATAATAATATGGGTGTAATGATTTATAGTTTTATTTTGAAAATTTTATCTAAAATATCAAACGGTGTGCTTGAGCGTGATATTGTGATGTTACAGAATTATATGCTTATGATTTTGCAATAAAAAGGGGCGTTATTTGTGCCAGACTGTGTGTGTGTGTGTCTTCACACACACTCAAAGGAATAAAATTCTTCATATATATAAAGAGACAGATGGATATACACCCAAGGACAGCACATGTGTATGTGTGTATGTATCTTCATATATATGTATCTCTTTATACATGTATACATTTTCATTCATATATATATATAGTTTAGATGCCCCATAAATTCACACTAATTCAGACCAGGCTTTTCTCCAATTAGTTCAAACTCGTGAGGTGTGACTCATAGTCCAGGTTCCCTTCTTACTCTTACTGTATTTCTTCAGATGAGTCGGGAATGTTCAAACACAAAGTACACGAACATGTTTTGGGAAGAGGGTGAGGTCGAATTGCTCAGTGAGCTCTGTTTTGGGAGGGAGGAGCAGGGGTCCTTTAGGTAGCCATTCCCAGCCTTTCTGGCACCAGGGACCGGTTTAGTGGAAGACAGTTTTTCCATGGACTGGGTGGGGGTGGGAGGGAGACAGGAGGAGGGGCTCAGGCAGTAACTTGAGCAGAGCCCGCTCCTACTATGCAGCCCAGTTCACGGCCGGTGGGTTGGGCACCCCGCCCTAGTGTTCTTTTCTGTTTCAGCCAACAGAGCGCTTGTCTCCTGTTCTTCGACTGGTACTCAGTGCCGTATCATTAGGGGAAAAAAACACCTGATGAAAAGGCAATCACAGCCCTTCTGTCTTGTCGTTGGTAAAGGTCAAATGGTGGGTTGACCATTTGAGGATTAAACCCTAATTGTCCACAGAAAAGCATAAAATAAAAACAGTTCTATTTTCTTTTTGTAAGTAGGCCTTTAATAGAAGGAGGATTTAAAAAATCACCTGCTGTTTCCCAGCTGAGACCAACCAGCCAGCCCTTCTGGTTCCGTCTCTGCCCTGCACCCTTCAGGGGGCCTGACCTCAAGGTTGCAGTTCACGAGGCTCAACCCCAGTGAGATGCAGGGGCAGGAACTGCAGGTGATGAAAAGGCGTGGTACACCCCCCCACTGTCCACTCACAGGTAGGGAATGTCCCTGAAACGAAAGATCAAGGCCCTTCATCCATGGGTCCCGGGCTCTAGCCCATTCGTGCCCAGCAGGGTTAGTGATGCAGGCGGGTGATTGCAGCCATGTCTGGTCACCTCCCTGTCCTGTCCCCGATAGGACTGAGCCACTGGAAACCAGACACTACTGATACCAAGTGAGCCTTTTGGGTAAGTGGTGGCACTGTCCGCTTTAGGTGCTTGAATGATTCCTGCACAAGCTCGGACAGGTCCGGACTGCTGCTTCCGTTGGCCTGTCTTACCTTTCTAAGCAGGCCTGGTCCCACTGGGAAGCTGCAGAGGACCGCTGTAAGCTGAAACGAGGCAACAGGGAACCGGCCTGCCCAGCAGGATCCAGGTCTGAAGACTCTGGATCGGACTGTATGGAAGCAGGGACAGCTTTCCCCGACGCTGCAACTCCCACGAGTGAAGGAGACGCAGCACTCTGGAGAAAGATTTCTCTCCCCTCCCAGACTCACTGACAGGCTAACTCTGAAACCCCAGTGACTTCAACAGATGGGCAGATATAACTTATAACATCTGGATGTTATCCAGACAGATTTGGATCCCTAAAATGAAAGCTATTCTGGGAAATTATAACCAAACCTGGGTTAAGGTCAAATTGCTCCTAAAATCAGGTCATATAGCAGCTGTAAACCAAATGCTCAAAGACTCTCCATCTGTAATTATTGCCCATTATGCACAGACCTCGGCGCCGCCTAATCTCCAGAGACACCAGGGCAAAATAAAATGATTCCGTGGCAAATCAGAGGCCCTCACAGAGACTCCTTGCACACGGTGGTACTGATGGCAGGTGCAGAAGGGAAGTGCTGTTGGGACTGGCCTTTGTCCCTCCTGCTTTAAACAGGATTCTTATTCCTGAAAAGCACAGTCTCGGCATATCTAGTGACACAAGTCGATGCGCGATTTGTCACGACTGCAGCAAGGGCGGTGGGTGCATTCTGGGAAGCCTGGCTCGGATCACCGCCAAGCAGTGAACTCTGTCTGCTCATGAGAGGAGGCCTTAAACGCTAAACCAAATCCAGTGTCAGACACTAATCGCCATGGACTTGAGCAGTCCACTTATGGTGTTTTTCACACCCTGATTCACCCACACACAACTAAGAATCCCAAAGCAGAGGGCCTCACCCAACCATGAAGGCCGAGACGCCACCAGGTCCCCTCCTTCTGACCACCGCTCTCCACGCAGCTTACAGAAGCCCAATCTCTCTGAGGTCACAAGAGCCTTTTTGTGATGGTGAAAGGGGTAATTGAAAAAATCTGTTTTACTTCATTAGTTATTTTTATTCTTTCTTTATTTTCACCCAGGAACATGGTGGGAGAGAGTTGTGGGGAGAGAGAAACATCGATGTGTGAGAGAAATATAGACCAGCCGCACCCCGCCTGGGGATCAAACCCGTAGCCTTATGGTGTACGGGACGATGTTCCAACCAACCGAGCCACCTGGCCAGGGCTTGCCTCACCACTTTCTGAAATGAACCAGATCTCCCAGCAACAGTCTGACGTTGAGCTGAATCCAGGCAGGATTCAGAACAACACAGGGGACTCTCCACATGAGGGTTTACTGGACAGCTCCTGGCTCTGAAGAGTCCGCAGTGCAGCTGGGCTAAAGCCCCCGAGAGCCGAACACCCGCTCAGAGGCTCGCACCGCCGGGGCTGAGGAGAAGCAGAGGGCAGCGCTCCACTCTCTCTCTGCCTGGTGCCCGGGTGCCCCCGAGAGCAGTGCCGTTCGCAGGGTTTTTTGTGCTGATGGAATGTGGTCTGTGTGGCCCAGGGGTAGCCAGTAGCCATGTGTGGCCATGGAGACCCTGGAATGTGGCCAGTGTGTCTGGGGGACATAACTTTTATTTTATTGAATTTTAGTTCATTTCGACATAAAGAGCTACACATGGCTAACGGCTGCCATATTGGACAGCACAGCTCTCACCTGCCTGGAGTGGAGGTGGTCTCCGCGACAGACCCCGGAGATGTGTTTCTTTGGCACAGGGGAGGGGAAACAGACCCCACGAGGCCTGAAATAACTCGGAAACACTGTGGCCTTGAAGTGAAACAGATCTGGGCCTGAACGTGGACTTGGCCGCCAGTGGTAGAAGCCTGGCAAAGAACTTAACACCTTAGTTCCTAGGTTCATAGTCTGTAAAGTGGGAATAAAAATTATCTCCTTGAAAGTGCTCAATATAATGCGTGGCACATATTAAGATCTCAAAAAATTACAGCTCCACCAGAACAGCTTCTGACAGACAATGAGAATTACTAACAGACTTCAGTGTTTCTGGATTCAAGATAAATATATAAAAACGTAATTTCCTGCCCTGACCGGTGTGGCTCAGTTGGTTAGGCATTGTTCTGCAAAGCAAAAGGCCATTGGTTCAATTCCCAGTTGAGGCATCTGCCTGGGTTGTGGGTTTGGTCCCCAGTTGGATGTATGAGAGGCAACCAGTCGATGTTTCTCTCCCTCTCATTCTCCCTCTCTTCCCCTCTCTCCAAAAATAAATAATAAAATCTTATTAAAAAACATAATTCCTTTACACCAGTAACCATCAATTCGTTTTAAAAATCCCATTCAAAATAGAAATAATTGAAGTACATAGGACTAATCTAGTTTTGTTTGTTTTAAGATACATGTCCTATATGGGGAACTTATTTAACAATTCAAAATTGTGTACTAAAAAATAAAAAAAATACCAACTACCAAATTCCTTCCCAAAGCTTCTGCCAAAACCATCGGGGCTCCCGCGTGTCCTCCGCGCCCCGGTGACTGCTCGGTGCAGTGAGCCGAGCCAGGAATGTGCAGGGAGGCCCTGCCCACGGTGGAGGAGGAAGGTGTCCAGGGACGGAATGAGTGTGTATGACCCAGAACGAGGCCCCTGATCTCCAACCTGCTACGGGAAGCAGCCAAGAGATGGCCAGCAAGTCTCTGTGTTGTTCCGTCTGGGTCACAACAGCAAACTGATGCTTGGAAAAGCTAGAAATGTGCTTTGGCACCAAGGAAAACTAATGAAAGGTGAAAAAGAACGTGAGAACCTTTCCAGTGTGCTCTCCCGCCCATCCCACACAACCAGGGGGACCACAAGTCCAGTGAAAGTGGGGACCCCGTGGTCTTGCTGAGGGAGAAGGGGATGTGGGGAGACTTTCCTTATCTAGATTTGCCTGAGATCATGAAAGGATGCTCAGGAAGCAGAGTCTGGCCTTGCATTTCAGGATCTCTTTTGCACGTGGGTTTTTCATCAAGCTCCTACATCTAGGAGTTCAGAGGCAATACCTATTGCCCCTGTTACAAACGGGGCACCACAGAGCATGTCCCTGTGGCAGGATATCCCAAGCTGTACATCATTGTGCTTCGTTATGGGGTACAGGAGGGACAGGGACCTGAGACAGAGCTCTGGGCTCTCTGCCATCGCACTGAACTCTGGGGCTCCCCCCGCTTTTGTCCTGGGTCTTCTCATGTCATTCTTCTCAGCTCACTCCTGGAAAATCTCATCCCCGCAGGCTTTTAATCTCGTGCTGGCAATGCCAACCTGTTAGCTCCAACACGGATCTGCCAATCTGATTGTTAAGTGGGTATTTCCACAGGACTGTCCCGATGGCACTTCAAACTCATCCCAGACGAGCTCGTTCTCTGCCCTCTTCTCTCCTCTCCTTCCCCACGTTTCCTCGTCCTCCTGTTCCTTCTTCTAACTGACAGCAGGCCACCTCCCACCCAGCCCCACAAGCCCTTGACCCAGTACCTTCATGTCCCTCGTCCTCCCATCCATGCCCATCCTTAGCACGGCTACTTAGGAGAAAACGGTGCAAGGATGAACCTCTGGGGGGCGAAAGTCAGGTGACCAAAACAGTAATTGCAGAAGGCAAGTTTATGACGACGAAAGCAAGATGGTAAACCAGCACAGAAGAGCTTTTACCCTGACGTTTCAAAGCAGGGTTCCTGATAAATAATTATATGTTGTTTAACTGTATGTTACTTATTTTGTTTAGGCCTATGATAAATATTTGTATAAATGAAAATAAATCAGTAACAAAGCAGTTAGTAAGTTCTTCTATGTAACACTCAAGGATCTTATTTTTAAACCCAAATTCCATCTGGAACTTCAGTCCAACTGTCTTCTCTTAGCTTCAGGCAACTGTTTCAAATTGAACCGCATGTTAAAGTACCAGGATTTTTAATAATGTCAACCAACATTTTCAATTTCTCACTGCTGTTAAACTACCACCTTCATCCTTGGGGATGAAAACATCTCCTGCCCAATGACACAGACACGACAAAGTGGCTGGTTCCCTCAGTTCAGTTCTTATCTTAAAAAGGGAGATGAAAAAGGCAGTTATGAGACAAGCCACGATTGCCATGATGAACATGTCATTGACCCCAGTTCTCTTTGTCTTTTGATGCTGTTGTCACTCTTTTGTCCAGCATCTTTAAGCAAAATGGGGAGAAAGGGGGTTGACGACCTGGTCCTAGGAAGGAGGGGACCCCCCCTGAAAGTGGACACTTATAAAAAAAAAGCCTGGATTGCCAAAGAACAAGCATTTTCCAGGACACCCACAGTTCTGCTGACCTGTTCTAACCGCAAAAGCAGCCCTTTAGCAGAAAGCCTGCCATAAATAATCGTGTTCTTTTTAGAAGAGTTTGCTGTGTATTATGATTAAGAGCTTATTCTGCAGATCTGTGTATGTGTGAGACAACACCACCCAAAAGAGAGAAGCCTCAAACATCACTCAACCCAAGGTACCCTTCAGGACAAGCGCACCCTGTGAGAGCACTTTATTTTGTTTAAAGCACTTGCGTTGAACTTACAGCCAATTAGTCTAATTTAACCACAGACCTAAGAAGCCAATTGAGGCAAAAAACAAAAACAAAACTCCTTCACTTTCTTGAAGTCCAAGAAACTGAGAGCTCAGTGAAATGTGAGCTGGGTGCATGGGGGCTTTAATTAATCAAGTTTCTAGGGTCAAATAAAGAAATACAGGGTCCAGCAGAAGTAAGGCCTGCTTGAGTGTGGTTGGTAGGATAATAATATGGGAGTAATAATTTATAGTTTTAATTTGAACATTTCACCTAAAATGTCATTTGGTGTGCTTGAGTATTTTGGTATGTTACGGAGTTACATGCTTGTGATTTGGTAATAAAAGATTTTGTAATAAAAAAGGGAGGCGTTATTTGTGCCAGACCATGTAGTTGATTGGCTAATATCTGCTCAGTCTCCAAACAAACCCTTGCAGCTTTCACTACAGCCTGGATCAGAAGCACAGGATTTTTAAGTCAAAGGTCACAAGTTCACCTCCCACGTTTAACAGATGAGGGTAATGAGGCACAGGCAGGTTGATTTGCTGCAGAGACAGAAGGTGATTCGCTCAAGGTCACTCAACTAGCTATTGGACAGCTGACTCTGTGACTGCCACACCAATGTCCAGCCCCCCGTGCCCAGTGGCCAGGGCAGACTCCCTCGGGGGCCGGGGACAGAAGGCGGTGCACTCAAGAGCCCTGGCACTGCGTTCCACACCCACCCAGTGGGGTTTTGTTTATGGTGATACATTAATCCACCATGCATGCAGCGACCGCGGCTGTGACTGCTTTTTCTAAATATGTCATGGAAATGGAGCTCACAGAGAAGCCTTTGAAAAACTGCATTCTGAAAGTAACGGCAAAGACTCTTCTTGGGCAGCCCAAATGAAAGGAAGCCTTTATTCTTCGTGCCTGCCTGGTGGATCAGCAGTTCAGCCGCCATCAGAAGAGGCCGCAGTGGAGGGCCCTCTGCACTCACCGTGGAACCAGGGGGCGATGGTGTCGGACGCTGTCTCGTAGCCTGCTCGCAGGGGCAGCTGCTCCTCTTTGAACCATCGGATGATGTCCTCTGGGGCACAGCCAGAGGCTGTCCTCGTCACTCCTCGGTTTCTGGCATTTGTAAGACCATTTATCAAGTTAGAGTTAACTATTTTGAAAACAATGCCTTCAAAAATTATATCTGCATATATATATGCATGCACAGAGTGGGACCAAAGTAGGTTTAGAGTTGTGAGTATGTGAAAGTTTGTTCTTGTATTAGTATCGACTAATTATGTTATTGTTTTCCATACTAAGAACTGTAAAACAACTTTTGCCTCAGAAACAGAGAGAGAGAGAGAGAGAGAAATGAGAACTATAAACATTAAAAAATCTAGTTACATGGGCCGAGCTAATGGGAGGTTGGACACACACACTGCCACCACCCCTCACGAGCACAAAACAGGGAGGACACAAATCTGTCACTTGTCCCTCCAATCCTACAGAGCTACTCTTGGAATTAAGCTACTGCTGCGTTGATGCATAGATTTTAATTGATTTTTAGTATGAATTAGAAGCTCCATTAACTCCCAATTAAAACTTGAGAAAATAAGCATGAAAGAGTGAAATACACCCCCCAGCACTATTTTCTTGGAGAACATGTACTGAAAACACAACAAATCAAATGCAACAAAATAAACTTCTTCCCTAACCTTTTCTCTTCTTTCTCTATCCACTCACCTCCCTGACTTGGTTTCTTCTCTCCCACACTTTGAAGAGGTTTAGTTCTGTTAAAAGACAGTCTGAGAAATATAAAGGTAAAGAAAGAAGAGTGTTTTGAGGTTGGTAAGAAAAAGACACAGGCAGCAGAAGCCTTCAGAAATCTATTCAGTAGCAGAACTTAAGTTCTGGAATATAAGTCAGTTTCCATTACAAAAAGGTACCATTGCAATGTAACAAACACATACCCAAGTCCCATGAAAAGCTTGCTATTCTGAGCATAGTTCAGCGTAAAAATGAGTGTGGATGAGCTACCGGAATGTCCTGTCATGAAATTAACATCATGACTCTTTATGCTTTGTATGGTAACATACGCCACCATGAGTTACATTCGACATATATGTCTGACATTTATACATGTACATATGCATATACATGCATACATTTTTGAGAAAAAAGCCTATAATATTTAACTTTCCTGGGGAGCAGGTACCACATACACATGAGATCACATGTAAGTTCTTTTCACTAGTTTTCAAATTAGGTATTTTTTTTCCTTGAGAAGTCTTTGGAGACCAAGGGGATACTCCAAGGACAGCTGGCTTCTATGTTTTCCTGGGCTGGACTTTACCGTAACCTTGGTCATCACTGTTTAAAGTGTTAGCCTTAAAGTCAGCCAGTCTGACTGCCTCACATGAAGCACTTATTGCATGTGTCTTAGGTTGAAAGAATGAGCAAAATGAGCACAGCTTAAAATAAGAATCACCCTTAGTAAAGGCCACCTTCATTGTTGTCTCTCACAATGTACTCTAAAAATAGCACAGGCGAGGGCACAAGTCTCTCTCCTACCCTGGAAGGGCCTGGGGATCGGGTACCCACCGCGACCTGCTGGGCCTGTGGCCACTGCTCCCAGACAGGCTGGGGTGCATGGCCACAAAACTGCGAGGAGCCTGCTTCCTGATTATCTTCCTTGTTTTGCTGTCCATCAGAGAAAAGTCATTCCCCAAACTGTCCCTTTGTGGAACATGGTCATTTAGTCCCAAAGTGGAACCTTTCCACTGAGTAAGAAATAATCACAGCAGAGGAAAAGGCCACATTTCCTCTGAGGTCATCAACCCCGTTAGGAGAAACCTTGAAGGTAACTACTGACTCCGAGCAGAAGGAGATTTTTGTTTGTTTTCATTTCTCCATCCTCATAACAGAACTATTTTTAGTTTTTATTCCAGAAGGCAGGCCTTTAAGACAGTTCTGTATCATTCAGTCAACATTTCATTTCTCCTGGTTATTTTATATACTGTCTTTCTACATATTAGAATATGAAACAATCACATATCAATAACTGGGGAGAATAACTTTATAATTGGGTTCTGCTGTAACATTATGGTGCTGTGTCTTTAGGAATTGTTCTGCCTAGTCCTTCCACAATTAGGAGGCAAAAGCACTACTGTCAACAAGCAAAGAGTCCCCACAAAAAGGGGCATTTCCAACTCCTCAACACGTGAGCATGCCTCCGTAACCCGGAGGAAGAACTGCTGCTAAGCCTTTAGTCCTGAGCCATGGAGACATAGCTCTCCCGATAACTTGAAGTCAGCAAGCCCTTGGGTTCCTGCTTTGATGTTCTTTCACCACTAAGAGCCACACTGGGAATCAGGGAACCAGGGCTGTTTCCTCTTGCCCCTTCAACAGCTCACCCACTGCCACCCGGTGGGGATAGGCTAGCGGCACAGGAAGTCAGTGAACACAGGGTGTGCACTCACTGAGTTGCTGGGCATGTTAAGTACTGAGGTGTACTGCTGCGGGTGTTCTACAGACAAGAAGGGGGTGAATGCCACACCAGGCATCTCAGGAAGACAGGCCTAGAGGAGGGGCTGAATTTAGTTACCCAGCCTGTCCTCCACTTCCCGTGGCCCACTGAGCACTTGTCCTCACTCAGCTCATTCAACCTTTGCTCTTAAAGCCATCTGCGTGGCTGCTTACCTAAGAGGCTTTCGGGGGTACTCTGCTGGGTGTAGGAATTTAGGCTTGGGTGGAAGGGGAGGTCTCTTTGGTTTCTGCGGAACACTTGGGGGGCTCTGCAGTCCCTCACTGCTTCTTGCTTTCTGGGATAACCTCTTGTAGTCTTCCCGCGCTTGTTTAGCCAAGGAGCGTCTCTTCTCATCAGCTGCTTTGGATTTTCGCACTAGACAAACAAAAGGTTTGGGGACGGCCCCCAGAGACAGTCAGAAGAATCGGCACCGCACCTGGAGAACAGATTCTGGCATTTGCTGATAATAATGAACAATTGCTCTTGACGCCTGTTATTCCGAAAATTGGGGCTTGCACATTCACCAGAGCCCAGCGTTCATGCAGAATCCCTCCTAGATGGGAGTCTGGGGACTGTCTGCGAGGGAGAGGGAGGGAAGAGGAGGAAGGAGGGACAGGAGGGAAATGTAGAACCGTTTGTTAGAGACTTCCCTGCAGTTAGCGAGACTGAGTGAGGAGTCACAGCCTTAGTGAGGATTCCAGGTGAGGGGTGGGGGCCGGGGGGCGGGTCTTTGAATAATAAGAAGTGATGATCACTCCTTCCCACCAACAGGATTCAGGATGTCACCTGCCCTGAGTCAAGGGGGAAGATCAGGCTGTCAGGAACTGTTCAGAGGTTTAGGCTGTGCACAGGAAGTGGGGTGGGGGGGTCAGGCAGTGAGGCCCCCATGTCAGAGCCGCTGTCAGCTGAACCCCCTCTAAATCAGCCCAGCAGACCCAAAAGTAAAGTGATTCTCAACCTTGACAATCATAGAACGGGTCGGTACACATGTAAGTACCCTGAGGCTGCCTCTTCATATTGTTTTGTAAATAGAGAGTTTATTGTTTTATTTTGCTTTTGTTTTAGCAACATAGTATTAAAGAACTCTAATGCAGGATGTTAGAATAATTTTTCTCGAGTGTATTTACACTTCGGGCATCATTAGTCAAATCCTGGTATGTGTGACTTCAAAGAGATGCCAAAGATTTCTATTATGCTAGGATTTCACTGCAGAAAAGTGATCAGATCTTGCAAATATTTCCATTTCACAAAAACTGTCATTTTAGTGGTGTTCCTTGTAATGGAACTGAAGATCAGTTTCGGATTCTCAGCATCTTGCAAACGTTGCCACTTCTCTCCTCCGAGCGGCCTCAAGGGCTGATCTGGCAGTGATAGCTCCTCTGTCTGAGACAGATGGAAACCCTAGTCCCACGTCCAACTTGAACTTGCCTGGCATCCCAGAGCGTGCCCTGCTCTGCCTTCACCTGCGCTGACCCTTCCCCAGGGGTTTATCTCTGACGGTGCTGATCGAAAAAGGGTCAGGGCTGGCCGCAGGCCTGGGAGGGACGCTAAGACATCCAGCCTGTTATTCCTGCAATCCAGCCTATTCTTCTGATTACAAAGTGAAGGTATACTCACTGTTGAAAATGTAGAAAATGACAGAATAACAAGAACTCAAAGAAGTAATCTTGAATCCCACCTCTTGAGTGTTAACACGTTAATAGCCTTCCAATTCTTTTCCTCTGTATACTTAGACATTTGAAAATAGAGAGGATTTGCATACTATTTTATCATTTTTTTCTTCTCCAAGCTTAAAAGATATAAACATATGCCAAGGTCATAAAATTACTCTTTGGAAAGATTTTTTTAGTAGCTATATACCATCCTCTCATATAAACACATCATAATTTTGACGGTACAAGATGACTGAGAACCTTTCTGCTATTCCGTAAGTGGCTCTTAAGCCTTTTGGGGACAATTTAGTGTTATAACACCGACCTCTCAGTGACCTCTTCAAGTGCTTTCTAGATTGGCTGTTTTATTGTGCGAGCCAATCGGCTTCTAGAGGCCTCTGGGTACTCACAAGACGCCTGCCACTCCGAATCCTCTTTCCAGCTCATATAAATCTGCTTGGTTCTCTCTTCCCCGATTTGTTTTATTTCTTCATCTTGTGTTTTCTTCATGGATTCTTTCTTCTGTTTAAAAAACCAGAAACAGACACCAGTAAGCGACCGTGGCAGTTTTCCTGGAGGAGGAGGGCTCCGCACACACCTTGATGGCTCTCTGACCCCCCTGGCCCTGGCCCTGGGGAGGGGGGTGACGGGACACTGTGGGGGGAGCATGGCGTGGCCACAGCTGCAGGTGGCTCCTCATTGTACAGCCTCTGGCGGTTCCTGAACCTCTTTGAGGCTGCACCCCCTAAGTCAAATGAGAAAATCAAGAATGTTTTGTAGGTTATAATGAGGGCTAAGTAATTTTTTTAAGTGCTTAGCACAGTGTGTAGTAAGAGTTCCATAAATATTCATTTTTCTCAGACATAGCACTTATCTGCTTTAAACTGAGTCCCCTGAGTGGTGTGTAAACACTGTTTCCTGGGAGCTGCGGAGGCGCTACAGTCCCTGATGGGTCCCTGGGACAAGGGTGCTTCCTGGGGGGCGACCCGGCCACGTCACCGTGAGCCCTGGAAGCACATGTCGGAAAATGTGCTCCTGACGTATGGCTTTAGGTGGCTCCAAAAGGAATTCTTTTGTTTTGAAAAATAAAACAAAAATATTTTTAAGTAAGAAACATGGACAACATAAAATAAGAAATACAAGTCTTCCTTTACAAAGGAGTTTGGCTTTTTTTGTAGTAAAGTATACATAACATAAAATTTACCATCTTAGCCATTTTTAAGTGTACAGCTCTTCAGCACTGAGAATGCTCAAGGGAATCAGTTTTTAGCTGAAGAGAAACCAGCACATGGGATCACTGAGGCCTAAAGCGCACTCTGCCTCACTGCAGCCCTCTGAGCGCTGGTGGGAAGGCTGGACCCCCGGCCTGGGCCGGAGAGGAAAGCCTCGCTCCGCCCGCCCAGCGATGGGACGCTCTGAGAGGGGCAGGAGGACCCTGCTGCTTTCTCTGTTGGGAAAGGGACAGTTCTTTTCCCTTTGGTGTTTTTCTATAGAAAGATAGCAAGTATCCTGCTGTTAAACTATTTCACCAGAATGTTGCAAAACTTATTTTTCATTATTGCAGGAAGTCAGAAATCAGTGCATGTAAAAGGTGACAATTCATAAACTACACTTCACTTTAGATATAACGAAACTTTCATTTATTTATTGTTTTCTTTTTGGGGGGTACATTCACTTCCTGCCTAGAAGTAAGTTCCTTTGGCTTGTCAATATTAGAAGAACCAAAGAACTTTCAGTGTTTGAAATGAGTGCAAAGATTTGTTATCCCCTTAAGTGAAAGTCTTTACAAGCCTGAAATACAAATACAGCGCTACTAGTGATGTCTGAGTTTAAATGGGGGGAAAAAAACAACTTGGCACAGGAGAGTGGAGCTTTGTAGTCAATAATACTGTAATAAGTGCGTGGGGCCAGGTGGGTGCTGCAAATATCAGGGGCGCACTTTGTACAGCACAGGCCTGCCTACCCACTACGCTGCTCACCTGAGACTAAAGCAGAATCATATTGAATGTAAACCGATGGAAAAATAAAATTTTTAGAAAGTGAGGCTTTGTCTTCCACATGCATATTTTAAAATGATTAAAAATGACTAGAAAAAATATGTTATTGGATGAGGACCCCATGGATATTATTGCTTAGAAAAAGTAAAAAGTTAACAAAGTGAGTCTACCAAAGGAAAAATATTAAGTTAATAATATGGCAGATGATACTAAAATGTCTGAGAGTGCTATACTTAGTAAATCTCATTCATTTTTAATCTACAGTGTAATACGTGTGGACGCAGTGGGAAAGGAGACAAAAGTAATGAGTTTCACAGAGTAACAGCAGATGAGGTCTGGCCCTGGCCACTGGGTTTATTCAAAGCAGCCGGAAAAGTTAGGAACTTATCCTGAGTTTCTCTAAGGATTCCTCCAGAAAGTTTACTTTTAGCAAATCCTTGTAAGCTGATCTTTACTTTCTCTATTTAAAAAATTATAGTTTCAGCCCGGCTGCTGTGGCTCAGTAGACCGAGTGCCAGCCTACAAACCAAAGGATCGTCAGTTCAATCCCCAGGCAGGGCACATGCCTGGGTGGTGGACCAGGTCCCCTGTAGGGGGCGCACAAGAGGCAACCACATATTGATGTTTACCTCTCTTTCTTCCTCCTCCCTTTCTCTAAAAACAAAAAAATAAAATCTTAAAAAGAAAATTAAAAAAAATTATCCTTTCCTCGTGTCCATAACAGCACCTTGCATGTGGGAGACACTCATTGATGTCGGCTGAATGGACACCAAGCCTTTGTCTTTCCCCCCTGCCCTCATTTAAAGTGATACCATGTACTCCGGGCAGAATTACTGAAAATTCCCTTTAGTTACTCTATTGCTGCTCTTTTAGAAAAGGTACACATTATACCTGCGGGACTACAGCTCCGAAACTTCTCCAGGATTTCCTGAAGTCTAAAACATGCGAATTATTCAAGTTAATATATGTCCCCACAGAGAAATCAGGGAACCAGTCGTACTGTCCACAGGAACGCAGGCCCCAGAGCTGGCCTCCGCCGCAGGCCCCATCTCAGACCTGTGGTCGGTCACTTGGACCCTTCCCTACAGCCTCCATTCTGACCCTGCTCTTTTAGACTCTCTGAAGGTCAAGTCCTACGACAGTTTCCAAGAGCCAGTCTATGCCTCATTGATCGCGAGCAATGCATGACGTGGTGCCAGTCTAGCACAATGGAGGAAGCGGGCTTGGCCTGTGCGGGGGATCTCCTGTCTGGCTGGATGCTGGGGAGATCTGAGCACCCAGAGACACTCTGGCACAGTGGATGCGGGTGGTACAAGACACTGGTCACCGTAAAGGGACAGGCTGATAGAAACAATGAACACGTAAGGGACTTTGTCTGAATGCACTATTTCTGGCAAGTCAGTGACTCATTTATCACTCTCCGAAATCAGTCTTCCCCAGTGTTTGCAGCAGCCAGGGATACCGTCTCCGGTTTAGATCTTCACTGAAGAGTCTAGCAGATACACCTTGGCATCTGTTCTTTCCATGATACTCAATACTTTTTCAGCTCCGGCTGAACAGGCGAAGATGAACAGCTATGTTCACACTCTTTTAGAAACAGATTTCACATTCTGCTGCTTAATTTCACTGCTGCATGAGACTAACAGACCAATTTATGAAACATTAGTGGAAATGGCTATGCATTTAGCCCCCTAAAGACAGAATGTAAATCTTTTACCTGGTGAAATCCATATGCCTTCATACGATTGATAGAATCTGCCAACATTTGTTGAATATTTCTTGAGGAACTGGAGGGTGACTAAAAATTAAATGAAACACATTTTTATTCCATTTTAGAGCTGCAGTGCAGTTTCAGAAAACAATCTGTTAATGTTTCCCTCCTTTTAACATTCTCTAATGCTGCCCCCACCCTTGCAACCGGATCCCCAACTTTCCCACCAGCACCTGGGCTCCTGAGCGGATCCTGACAGAGGCAGCAGGGCCACCAAGAGCCAGGAGCTGGTGCTCTGCTCCTGATGGGCAGGTTTGTGTGTCTTGCTCACAGTAGGCCCCGGTGCCCAGGGAGATGACTTCTAGGTGTCCACATTAGTTCTTAACCCAAATCCTCTGCTTCCTCTCTGAATCCCTGCACTACCCATACCACCCTGTTCTAGGTCAGATCAGAGAGGTGCTTAGTCTCTGCCATTTAACTGTGTGGCCTTGCTCCCCACCTAGGACTGGAGGCATGCCTGGAATACCAGCTTGGTGCCTGGGCGCCCTGCCCACTCTCCCTGCCTGATCACATTCCTCGCCTCTCCTTCCTCTGACCCCGTTACCCAGCCCGGTATCTGGGTTTCTGCTACTCTGGATGGATTCCCCAAGAGCCAACTCCTGCTAGTGGGGTTCCCAGATGCACCGCCTGGACTGCCCGGTGCTCTTCCTGCCAGCCGTGCGCCAGCCTCTCTGGCACTGTGACCGAGCTGGCACATCACTCCAGGAGCCTCTTAAAACCAGGTCAGTTACACAGGCCCTCGTCACCCTGTCCCTGGCTTGAGTGCAGAATCTGGGCCAAGTCTCAGCAGGGACTGCACAGCCCGAGATAGCCACCCCCTACCCATATTACCGTGACTTTGTGTGTGTTCCTGAGGCCTCATCCCTGAACTCTGGCATAGATCAGAAACTATCTGCCTATTTTCAGGAAAAGGTTGGTATCAAGGTACAGCACAGAGCAAAAATGGTAGCTACTCCTGGGTGCTTGCTATGCTATGTGAAAAACCAGCATGGGTACCTCAATTTTGCCCCTTTTTTCACAGTAACAGGGCATGTGTGCTAGCACCTAGGTAACCCAAGTAGTTAGGTGTGCCACGCAAATACGTGATCTCTAATATAATGCAGGTGGTGACTGGCATCTTCCACTTCTGTTTGGGCCCTAAAACCTCCTTCAGACGTCATCCCGGCCACTTCCCCTTCCTTTGGGCTGGAATGGCGGTGGCGGTCATGCTAGTACATCCGAAGGCAGCACAGCCAGCAAAGCCCGAGGCCCTGCCTGACCGCGCCCTCCCACACCAGACCGCGGTCCTGGAATGTTATCAAGGAGAAAGGTGAATTTCTACTGTGTTTTAACCATGGCCTTTCTGATCTGTTACAAAAGTTTGGTCTATCGTAGCTGATAGAACTGGCTCCCACAGTTGCTGGCAGCACACTCACGAAGCTGTCTGCTGCATTTCTGCTAGTCGTGCCTGCTGCTATTAAGGCTAATTCCACAAATGGCTTCTGCGCACTGGAGGCCTGCTATGACCCAGCACTGTGTTCGTGAGTATTATTTTTATTTCTTGCAACATCTCTGGTGGGTGGGCAGCACCATGCCCGATCTTCGGGTGAGGAGAGTGACCCTCAGAGGAGCCGCGTGGCTTGCTGAGATTGCACGGCTGGCTGGCACCAGAGTGTGTGCTTTTCCCACGGGTGACATCTTAATGATAGAAACACGAGGCTGCAGGTCAAAGGTTTCTTACGCTTATTACCTGGCAAAGTAATGCATCCTATAGGTTTCACAACTGCTACTTACATACTCTGTCTCACTTGTTTCTTAGTGTTTTAGTGTTATAATAACGTACAGAGCTGCTCTGCATCCACAGCAGAAAGGCACAGTGACCAGTTCCTCTCTTTATGAACAGGTTAGAACTGCTCCACCAGGTTTTGTCTAAGTCTGTTCAAAAGTCCAACATAACTTGGAAAGGCTCGTTCTTGTAGCCTCCAAATACATTTCCCACTCTAAGGAATGTGAGCTTTGAAACCAGGCTCACGCTCCCTTTCCTCAACGACAGAAGATCTGTGGGGCATCATCATTTTGCAAAAACGAATTAGTTCCTCCTTTGTCGAGAACTAGGAGGCAGGTAACCTCCTCAAGCTCTGCAGACAGGCTCCAGCCACGCTAGGTGCGCTCTGAGCCTCTCCACTCATCTGCTTCAGAACGACCTGGGCCCGTGCACCCAGCAGAGCCATGGACCGAGGTTTTGTCAGCCAGCCGCACACCTCCACCGTGCTCAGCCTTCACGTTGTTGAGCAAACCAAACTGTCAGGTGTTTCCTGAATTAGCATCAGGCTAAGAGGCACCTGGCTCTGCTCTTCTAACTCATATATTCCAAAGCAATGTCTGTCTCACTATTTCTTCCCCATCACTGGCCCAACGGCGTCATCTGCCCAGGTATAACACTTCAAAAACACTGTGTGAGTTACTCTTTGTCCCTGAGGAACAGCCCTTCTCCTGGGCTGTTCATCTGTATACACAGACAGCATCGTTTTCTCACCACTTGCTTTTTTCTTATGGTTAATTTTCTTTCACAGTCATGTTCTTGTTCTCACTAGCACTTCCCATATACTCACTGCTTTTGCACCTGTCAGATATGATGGGCTATTAATATTCTTAAAGTAACTCAAAGCTAAGCACAGACGTACGAACCAGATGATGAAAAGGACTTGGTGCTGGGGACTGAAGGGGCCACCGTGATTGTCAGCACCACCTACTGGCGCCACTCGGGTTGGCATCCTCCCTTTGAAGTTGTAGGTGTTGGTTTTCGTTACCAAAGCTGGTTCTTATACAAGAGTCTTAGCCTAAATAATTGATTAGTTTAACAGCCAACCCAGAGATTGATACATCTGTGCAAGGATCTCCATATGGCTAAAACATATTGTAAACTCTAAAACTATTCACATGTGCTAAGAACCATATTTTTTAAATTATAAAAATACTGATTTTCAAGGTGAAAGAAGATTTGCCATTATCCCAAAGTGTTAAAATAATATGATGAACTTAAATAAGGCTTGTGTAGAGCAGGTTCATTCGGGTACACTTACAAGTTCTACAAATCCAGGGAGCACACTAAGTACGATGTCATAAACTGAGAATACTGTGACCAGGTGATTCCCTAAGGCTCTGCCGCACGCAACTTACAGGTGCCTTTTATAGGAAGTCAAAGCCTGTACACACTAAACCTGATACACAGAAACAAACACAGGGAGGCCGATGAGTTGAGGAGACAAAGAAATACGGCCCAAATGAAAGAACAGAATCAAATCCCAGAAAAAGAACTAAATGAAACGGAGGTAATCGACCCATCAGATGCAGAGTTGAAAACACTGGTGATCAACATGTTCAAAGAACTCACTGAGTATGGATGGCAAAAACACAGGGGAAGAAACAAAGGTTACATTCAGTGAAATAAAGAAAAACCTACAGGGAACCAACAGTGCTGAGGATGAAGCCCAGAATCAAACCGATGATTTGGAACACAAGGAAGAAAAAAGCATTCAATCAGAACAGCAGGAAGAAAAAAAATTCAAAATAACAGGAATAGACTTAGGAACCTCTGGGACAACTTTAAACATACCAATATCCGAATCATAGGGATGCCAGAAGGAGAAGAGGAAGAGCAAGAAATTAAAGACTTATTTTTAAAAAATGAAAGAAAACTTCCCTAGTTTGGTGAAGAAAATAGACATACAAGTGCAGAAAGCATAGAGAGTCCCAAACAAGTTAGACCCAAAGAGGACCACACAAAGGTACATCATAATTAAAATGCCAAAGGTTAAAGCTAAAGAGAGAATCTTAAAACTTTGTAGGCAAGAAAGGACTGTTGAGAAGTATTCAAAGTGATGAAAAGAATCTACAACCTAGATTACTCTATCTAGCAAAGCTATCATTTAGAAAGGAAGGGTAGATAAAGTGCTTCTTAAGGTAAAGCTAAAGGAGTTCATCATCACCAAGCCCTTATTATATGAAATGTTAAAGGGACTTATCTAAGAAAAAGAAGATCAAAGCTATGAACATTAAAAGGGCAGCAAATTCACAACTATCAACAACTGAATCTAAAAAAACATAATTAAGCAAACAAGCAGAACAGGAACAGAATAACAAAGTACTTTCATGTCCAATACATCATTTGATCTTCATATGAACCCCATAAGGGTGTCTAAAGGGTAAGGTGACTTACTAACAGGTAGAAGAGCAGAGACTACAGTCTATGTCCCCTCCACGTCTACTTGCTTATTCTGCGGGGTGTCCCAGAGAAAGCGTGGCTGCTCCCGTGCACGCAAACCACTGCAGTCACCGCCCACCTGCTGACCTCTGCGACTGCTGAAACTCTACGGGCAGAGTTAAAGCAGTCTTATCTGCTTCATATTTGCTTTATTTAAAAATAAAACCTGTATTGCTGCGATGAACATAGGCAATATTCACAATAGCCAAGACATGGAAGTATCCCAAGTGTCCCTCGAAGGATGATTGGATAAAGATGTTGCACGTATGTACAAAGGCCTACTACTCCACCGTAAACAGATGGAATACTGTCATCTCTGATGGCATGGGTGGATCTTAAGCATTAGGCCAAGTGAAGTGAGTCAGATGGAAAAGGATAAGAACCGTATGATTTCATTCACACCTGAGACATAAAACAAAAAACAACAAATGAACAAACAAAATGCAAGCAAACAAAAAGCAAACTCACAGATACAGACAACAGGATGGTGGTCACCAGAGGGTGGGGCTGGGAGGAGGTGAAAGCAGAGCAAACATGTGGTGGTGGAAGGAGACTGAGCTCAGGGTGGTGGGCTCGCCATACACCTGTCATATGATAAAGCTGTACACCTGGAATTTACATAATGTTACGAACCAATAAATTTAATAATAAAAAAGAAAACCGCCACATAATATTTATGCAGAAGTTCCCCCGCAAATAAACAGAAAACTTGAAAGCCAGTGACATCAGGAGCCAGTGGACACCCTACAGACCCCAAGTCGGGATGTGGTTACGGCCCTCTCTG